GAAGGCAATTGATTCTTTCTTTCTTTCTAAAGTAATGGCACAGCTGCAAGAGTTGAGCCGGGTAATTTAAAATTTAAGGCCGCTCTGCGGGACCACCTTATTGAAACCGGGAACTGTGGTTATCTATCTATATTTATTAAAAACTGGATCACTGGATAATGCAATTCAATACTTTTTATTGGCTTAGCCATTATGGTATATGAGCCAATATACCAAAATCTACAAATATGGTAAGCGTACGCATCAGCTTAAAATTAAAAGGGGCTAAAAAATTTAATAAAATTTAATAATTTGATTTAATGTTTTTAATAAAACAATTATTCCACTCGAGCTTGTTGGATATGAGATGATTATAGCCAACGAGGCGCGTAGCGCCTCGTTGGCTATCTATCATCTCATATCCAACGCACGCTCGTGTAATAATTGTTAATTGTTTCATACTTAGCCTGCGTCTATCGAGTTATGGATGCACGCGGGGAGTTTGGACAGCACGAGAGAAGCGTAAGAGTTACTCGAGGCGCAGCCGAGAGCAACTCTAGCTTCTTGAGTGCTCTCCAAACTTCCCAAGTGCATCCAGAACTCAATAGACGCACAGCTAAAAGCATGAAACAATTCTTTTATAACATACGAAAACAATTTGGGCGCTGAATGACGTTCTTGTAATGTTTTTTGAAATGAAAGTTGTCCGAAAACGTCGGCGTCTCCGATTGTTTTGTTGATTTTGTAATGAAATGTTTTACTGTAGAATTAACAGATGTAACCAAAAAAACGTCATCAACAGAGACGTTTACCTTTAAAAGTCACCACAGACCAATTTGTAGTCTTCTTAGTTCTTGCTGAATGTCTTTCAGCTAAAATTTTCTCCAGCTCCTGTTCCGATAAATTCGGGAAACGGGCCTGTTGTGTTTCGTTTTCGTAGTGCTTCTTGGCTTGATTACTTGCGGGAAGGTCGAAAGCCAAAGAATAGTTTGGTTGGTCTTCGATTTACTATTATCGCTTTCCGAAACTTTAACTTAAGGAATTCACACGACGGAAATTTTGCAGCTATTTTGAAACTGCACACGTCATTTTATTGAGCACGGCCGTGCGTACATAAAGATTTTGTTCATGTTGACGCAATAGGAATTAGATAGGACTAGCGCGCGCGCTATGTTATAAAAAGATTCATCATTCAACTGTACTAAACAAAGTACAAATCACGGGGCGCGAATGGAGTAAATAATGGTAATTGAACTGAGTGGAGTGCAATTTGGGCTGAAGTCATACGCGTGATTTCAAAATCGAACGAGCGCGCAGCGCGAGTTTGATTTTAAATCACAAGTGTGATTTCAGACAAAAATTGCACGACACGAGGTTCAATTACCACTTTATTACATCAATTTTGAAATCGCCCAAATACAGGACTTGGTCAATTCAAATATTCTACTGATGCAGTACTGAGTCGGTTTTTAAATAAAAAGCGGAACCAGAAACGCTTTTACATCTTATTTTGTATGCAAACAGAAAGACTTTGACGTCATGTGTCAAAAACTCATGAATAAAGGCTGATAGTTTCGAAAGAAACTGTTTGGGGCTGCGTCGGTGGGAGTAACGAAATAATTTGGATATATCAACAAAGTTGAAATTGCCCTTCGTCGGAGCGAATAGAGGAATTGTGACGACGAAGGGCTAACGCTCGAAACGTCAGCTTTTGTAATCATTACGGTGGCCAATTTACCATTTCAACTTTGTTGATATATCCAAATTATGTCAAAAACTCAGTCAAGCGTAAAATGACGCGATTTAGAGCAAAAACTGGTGCGATTTGTGAATAAATCGCACCAATTAGAGCCAATCAGATTACAGGGACCACTAGTGATTTCACAATGGATGTAATAAAAATTGAAATGAAAGGTTGAGCATGATATCATCAAATGCTAAGAATATATGAAAATCATATATTTGAACTGCGTTTATCATCAATTATCAATATGCCGAGGCCTGAGATATCTGCGCGGAAGCCGAAGGCTCGGGTAGATAACACACGACACGAGGTCAGACAATTTCATGATATCATGCAAACGCGGAATTCAATAACTATTTTATTTTCACAACACGTGAAAGTACTCAGAGTTACTACACACCAAAACTGACGTCTTTTAAAACAGGCACTAACTGCTTCAATTGAAAGAGCGTCTCAATGGATTGATGATTTTGACGGCTAGCGGTTAAAATTTTTGCAATTTTACGGTTGTATTTCCTTCTCTATTACACATTTGAAGTTGACAAGAACGTTCGCACACTCTCACTTTTGCCTCGAAAAATCATACTTCAGTTAATAACAAACTCCCTCGCGGCGTCACGTGACCTACACAGCTATCATTGGGAAGTGTCCGGTCCCATGGGTTTCATCTCGATTCGCATCATGGGAAGTGAGATAATGCTAGCATTCTTGGACCCAGACGTAACTCGTTAAAGTCAAATTTTTAATAGCTAAAAGTACTGTGATATAATGTTAACGACTCAGATAATTGCGCAACATTTTCACGATGGACGAGTTGCGTTTATAACTAGGGTCAGATAAATTATGTCGGCATAATTTTGGACATAAATGCGCCGATCACTTCGAAGCTTCAACATCCCCCCCCCCCGGCAACGCAAGAAAATTTGTTCGTCGTCCATGCCTGGGGGGGGGGAGAATTATACCCTGCCCGGCTGGGGTGAGGAATTTGAACCGGAAGTGCGAAATTCTTGTCTTTCACGTGACGTCACTGACATATGCAAGTGTGGAGGTGTTTGTTCATTTTCGCGGGTGAATACACCTTTGCCATAATGGCGGATAATCCGATGGAGGTTTGAGACTGGTTATGAATAATTTCACGAAAGCGAGGCCACCCGGGCAACACATGGCGACGCGACTATACAAGCTCTCACAATTCCTCGAGCTTTTTAACCGAAAATGACATTCCTGGAGCTTCCTTAGGAGATAGAAATCTCTCACAATTCAAGACTGAGGACTTGAGACTATGGTTGAAGGGCAGAGGTGACCCAGCGAAAGCTTTAAAGACAAAAGCAAGCTTGTGACAAGGCTAGTTTCGAGCACAAAATGCGTACTTCGAGGTGTTTTGATTGCTTGAGAAAATTGTCAGTTGTGATTACTTACACTTAAATTGACCTAATTTCTTATACTTTAATACATCAAGAGCGGAAAGGTTATAAACATCATTGATCCTGATCCCAATAATCTTTATTCTAAACGAAAACAACTGCGCTCGGCAAACAACACAAGTTCACACTCCGCCGCTAACGACATGTTCCCGTCAAATTCTCTGAATCTAGTATGTGGAACTACTCACTTCAGAAGATGCCTCTGTTTACCAGAGCGGAATAAAACAATCATATAACACGCTCTGGGGTCTAGATAATTGTAGATTTCCATTAAAATAGCGTTGATAGGAAACGAAGTGTAGCAGGACACAGCATAACTGTCGGCGCGAAATCTTTCAATAGAAAAAGTCTGCTTTTTAAACATTCATTCTTCTTTGAAATGCTTTCTATTTCTCTTTAGAGCTCTTCTATTCTCATTTCATACTGTTTCACAAGCGCGACAACACTCTGATCACTCTGAATGCATGCATCCTTCGACTCGACCAAATCGGTCTGAGTTTCGACATCTTTTGTCTTTGCCTAATTTTTGACATTCTTTTCATTAGATTCTACAGTTGTAATCTGACTCTCTAGCTGTTCATTCGATTTATCATTTACGCTGCTTTCCGAGTGTGCACACCATGAATAAAGCTGAGTAGTAAGCTGAATGATTGATGAGTAGTTGTTTTACTAGTGAATCTTTGAGGTGGAGGCTTTTTTTGCGCAGCGAAGTACACCACTGAAATACCGAAGGTACAGCATTGGTTTGAAGGCATATTTTGCCCGCAATACTTTTCTTCAAGTCTTCCATTTTAAAATGGTGCGAGCAGACCATGGTTGAGTCCAAGACTTTGAAGCTTTTTCCTTCCTCTCGACGGATTGCATGAAGCCATTGCTTTCTCGCGAGTTTTTCTTTTGGAAACGAGTTTCTCGCGAGTTTTTCTTTGAAGTAGGATATTTATTAACCGTTCACGTCGCGATATCCCCTTGTAGTCCATGAAGGAACACAGCAGTGGCATGGCATTGTACATATTAACTTGAGCCTTAGCTATATTAGTAGTCGATTCTTTGAGAAATAAAGCTTTTTGGATCGATTAATAAATTGTGCCAGAAACTTTTTGACAAGCGCTCACAAGTGCACAAATCCATGCCCGGGTGGCCTCGTACCCATGCACTAGTTTTAGTCTTCACTCGGCCGCCGCCATTATGGCAAAGGTGTATGGCTCAGAAGAAAAGATCGAAGTTGTAAAGCTTGGTCAATGTGTAGAAAGTCACGGTCGCTGATTTTGCCTTAAACAAAAAAATAATAATTTAGTGGGGCATTTGAACATAATTTTTGCTTGGGGAGGGGGGGTTGAATAAGCCACTCAGTAAAACTTCAAATACCCGGAAGTTGGCCGGGGGGAATATTGAAGCTTCGAATTGAGCAACATATACTGGAGTGAGAGCAGCGAGCGTAATGCCTGCAAAGTGACGAAACTTCTCGAAAATTCACTCGATGTTACAGTTCAACAAGAGATAAATTCTGTAGCCTGTGTAATGTCAACAGTGATCTGCTTTTCTCGCGTGCTGTTATCAGGTGAAATGTTGCGTTCTGAACTTCGCTAAGGCCTTTTAGTCTTGGCAAGTTTCATCTATTGGTGGCAGAAATTTGGAGGCGCTGGAGGTTGAGGGGCTCTTAATAGCTATTATTTTGATTCACTAAATTGAGCATAATGAGAAATTTTGAGCATAAAATAATGCCATGTCTTCGGGGGTGACACTCAAAAAGATAATCCTCGAACCTTCGGGAAACATTTATCTGACACTACTTACGACGTTGAAGGTGATTAAGTGAAGTGAGCGGTGTCACATTGCATTGCACAAAGTAAATATATTTGCATATGCACATACCAGAACTTACAAGCTTGGGTGACCTGTGCTCCCTAGTTGTGCTTTTAGTCAGCAGGGGTTTTGGCACAATCTCAGATCGCTGTTCACTTTTGATCAGATCAGATTGCTGCACGTAGCATGGCGGTAAGTGTCTTCAGTTTGATCATTCTGGTGTTTCAGTTTGCGGTTGAGTTATGTGGTTATATCAATAAACATTGTCACGTTTATTTATCACTAACTGTGAAAAAGCTACGCTAAAACAAAGCATGCTCGAGTTTATGCAAATTAAGAATTGTTGATATCAGCTGTTTCTTGCAGAGATAACACGTCAATGTACGTTTGTTTTCATAGCGTTATTCAATTGGGTAGTCATTACGAAAGATTTATATCAATCGCTACTCATGTCATTCCCAGTCAAAGTTAAAAATGGTGATGAAAGTGACTGTTATGGTTCAAAGGAGCTGAAACTAATTGTGCAAGATTGGTTCGACTTGGATCGCGAAAAAGGTTACTAAGTTGATCAGTTACACACGAGTAAAGTTGGAGAGAAGAAGTTCAAGCTCTTGTGTTCAAAACAAATTAAAGCAATTGATCTCCACTCCTTGAAATATCCTGTAAGAAGTGAATTTCCAATTTGCACAACCGGTCTGATGAATATGGAGATTGCTTCTTTGGTAGGCGACAGAAAGCTATTTTTGGCAACTATTGTTGTCTGACGATATCAAAACCACATTGCTCAGTGTCCAAGTACTGTAGAACTGATTTCCAAATATTCACGTCATGTCATGAGTTGTAATATTTATTATGGGAGGTTGCGTTGATTAACTCGGCACGAATGAAAAAGCATTCCGAAAATTACAAACTGTCGTAAATAAATAACCTCAACACTGCGAGGTCTCACTAATCAAATGCGAGGTGTACAAATGAATTGGACAATATGAAAAAGTACATAAAAAGTAATCTTTTACATCCGGCTGAGATTCGTTTGGAGCTTTCTTGGTTTTGGCTTCGTGATCCGAACTATCATTCGTGTGCAACAGAATAAATGACTGTGAACTTCAAATCAGTTTTTTATTAAGAAGATACAAGTTTTGGATTGGACATGACAGCTGTAATGCCTAATTCACTGTTGTCAGGTCTCATGTGCAGCAAGATAGTCAATTACTAATTAATGAATTATGAAAATTACAATAATGATGATCATGGCAACAGCAGTGAAAATGACAATGGCAGTGACAATGACTGGGACAGCAACACTCACTGTGACAGTAAGAGTGATATTAACACTCATGCTCAATGTATTAATAAAGCATGACAGGCTTACAGACAACGATTGTCTATGCTTTAGGGCAATATAATTATCTCAGTGACAAGTTGAAGACAAGGAGCAGGACGAGTACAGTTACAATGATAACAACAATAACTAAGATGACCGATGGAGACAGTGACAAGGACAACCACAGAGATGATGACAGTTACAATAAAACAGATGACATTAACAGTGACTACAACAGAGACCATATCAGTAATCATAACAGTGACAATGACAATAAAAGTATCAGTGACCATGTCAGTGACAATGATGATGAAATGACAATGGTAGGAACAATGTTAATGATAAGTATTTACCCAAAGTGCCCAAGCTACTGACAGAGGTGTTTTTTAGAGCAATCTCTTTGATTAACTCTTCAACTTGCCATCAAAAAATTATTTATTATGTAGCATCTCCCTATGAGATTTTGTAGTTGTTCGTACATCTTTATCCATGCTCAGTGACAGGAAATTCAGTTGATTGTGTTATCAGTTATGAAATCTGGCCAGAAAGTCAAGTAAAATTCCAAAGGAGTGAAATGATTTCATTAAAGGAGCAAAGTGTTTGTCTGGAAAGTGTACGCAGACTGGGGAGATAAATATTTTCAGTTTTTTTGCATGGCATTCCTAGATAATTCATGAGAATTCATGTCCTCGACTAAACCCTGCTTTGAAATTTCACATGAACAGGAAACTGAAATAAACTAAGGAGCACCTTAGAAATGTTCATATCAAATAGACATCAAAACCATGCAAATTGAAAAAAATGTATCAAAAACAAATTTGTACAAGGTGCATTAAAAGTCATTTAATTGTTTCCATCATTCATAATGGTATCTTAAGAATATTTAAGAATAAACACTAGCGAGAAAAACACACAACGTTTCGATGACTCCATGTCATCATTCTCAAGTGAGAAGAGAATGAAAATGAATAGTTAATTTATACCGTACGAAGGTGGCAAACGTAAAAAGTTTAAAGTATTTAAAATATTTAAATAAATAATTGTGCATGTTGAGTGTAAACTATTAAAGAAATAGTTTCGCGCGTATGGAATCCGATTGTTTGTTCAAAGAGGGCTTCATCTTCTTTATGAAAAGCATTTCATGAACTAAACAGTCCAGTTTCCCGGTGCACTTTTTAAGTACGTTGAAATGCTTGGTCAGGTGGCCGATGGTTTGTAGGCCGTGGTCGTTCCTTAGATGTTTGCCGATGGCCGAATTACGGTGCTCATTAATACGTTGATGTAAATGCCGGCTGGTGTACCCGACGTACTCTGCATCACACAGATCACATTTATAATTATATACAACGCATTGTTGGCTAACTATAGGAGGTTTAGGCTCACGTACTCTGAGATCTTCACAGATTTTGCGACTCTTGAACACGGGATGAAGGGTGTGATCGATTTTGTTGCTTAGATCTGATAATTGCCTTTTCACTGCGTCAGCTGACTTTTGATCTTTAAAAGGCAAAACCACTCGGTGAACAGCATTTTCGTTGACGGATAATTGAGCTTGCACTCCAGGGTTTTCCGACCTAACTGAGGTGACAAAGTGAGAGATGGTGGAATTGATGAGGTGGTCGGGATACTTGAGGTTTGTAAACATCATCTTTAGATGATCACATTCAGATTTGAAGGACTCCCATGTGGACGACAGGCGGAATGCACGATTCAACATGGTCTTAAGTAGTGATTTCTTGTACCTTTTATCGACGTGGCTCTGGTGATGAAGCAATAGGCCTGTGTTTGTTGGTTTCCGATAAACACTAGTTTCTAGTTTACAGCCTTTCTTGAGCACTTCCATACCGACAAAAGGTAACTTGTTTCCAGATGCTAGCTCCATGGTGAAGTGTATGGACGGATGGCAGTTATTTAGCGTTGATAATAAATCTTCTGCCGCTGGTACACTTGTGACAATAGCAAACGTGTCATCCACGTACCTTCTGTAAAATTCAGGGAGCTTGTTGTCTTGATCTAGTTTCTCTTCGATAGAACAGAGAAATGCGTTTGCCATAAGTGGGCCCAATGGAGAACCCATGGCCACACCGTCGGTCTGCTCGTAAAGATTGCCATCAAATTGGAATAGTTGATTCATAGTTGCAACTTCTAGAAGTTGAACCAGTTCAGGCTTTGTAATGCTGAGGTCGTGTGTAGTATTAAACCAGTTGTCAGCGAACGCCTTCTCAGCGATGATTTCGATCGTTTCTTGAAGCGGCACATTAGTGAATAGTGACGTGACGTCATAGGATACCAGAATGTCATTCTCGTCGATGACTAGGTTTTGAATCTCATCGGCGAAGGAGAAGGTATCTGATATTGTGTAGCGATTGCTTGACAGGGGCTTCAGTTTGTCATCAAGCCACTTGGCGAGGGCATAGTTGTAAGTGCCGGTGGCAGATAGGATAGGTCTCATCGATAGATTCTCTTTGTGTGTCTTAGGGAGTCCATAAAGATGGGCAAGGCGTGAGCCAGCCTGGCAAACACAGTCGGCAATCTGCTTTGGTAAGATCTTCCGTACAACAGATGCAAGGTGCTTTTCCTTCTCCAATAGAGGGTGGTAATGCTTTACTGGGCGGCCTCTCGTTTTTGGTCTCTGCAGGCTGACAGGTGTGAACTTCGATGTATCATTGATAGATGCCTGGCTCAGCAGGTTAATATAATCAGATTTGTTCATGATGACTACACCAGTACCTTTATCTGGCTT